TGTCTACTATTTAATATTAAACATATACATTAAACACCCTAATAAATCTGTTGAAACACGTCCATCTGATGGCAGTTGAGTTTGCAGCTGGATATTATTGGGAAATCGCTGACAGGAACAGTGAACAGCTCCGCCAAAGGGCGTCTGAAACTCATATGTAAGTTTATTTTACAGTCTATAGCAGGTCGCACACCAGAAGCGCCGCTCGGCGTCACGACACCGCGCGCACATGACAGTTTAAAGTATCCTGTATGGGCAAGCGTCTTTTATAAATCACTCGCAGGACATTAATTTGGACAACTATGCAGATATAATACATAGTTCACACAATAATACACAAAGAGAGACTTTCACTTCACGCAAAGTTTGTGAATGAACAGACTTACATGTTGCCTATTAGTTGCAAACGCGATCATGAGGCTGTTTTTGTGCAGAGTTTGAAGTAATCAATCACAGAACTGGAGAACGTGCACTACTTCGTTAATTTTAATATAGCTTATTAATAATAAAATTAAAAAAAATTATAGTATTAAATTGAGAGTTCATTTTAAGCTATCTCATGGCACACCTGTAGAGTCGATGAGGCCCACTAGTGCTGTATGAATTCCCGCTTTATCAGATGAAATTAACCGTTTGAAGTTGCAACATCCAGTGGACACAATTGGAACAGCAGCTTCTTTTATTGAAAAATTGCAGCTGTTTTTATACTATACAGAATCATCTCGCGGGCCGGATTAAACCTGTTTGCAGGCCTGATCCGGCCCGCAGACTGTACATTTGACACCCCTGGTCTATGTCATATTTAAATGTCTAATGGCTGCTGGTATTAAACTACTATTCTTTCGCTTAGTTCTACAGCTTGTTACTAGAAACCTGTGACCAGAAGGAAGGAGCTAAAACTTCTTCCCATATATATATACTATATATATAGACAATAGCCCCTTTTACACAGTGATACCGGTAAATATCCGGAAAATTTCCGGAACGACTTTACCGGTATATTCAAAAAAGTGCTGTTCACACAGGCAAGGACGTTACGGATATTTTCCGGAAAAGAGCATTCACACATCCATTCCAAAATACCGGTAAATTCTGACATCATTCACCACAAATGAGCTTTAGGGTGCTTTCACACCTACACTTTTGTTTGGGAACGTGTCTCGTTTGCCCAGTTAGCGCGGTTCGTTTGGCATATGTGAACACGGCAATCGCGCTATGTTCCGCGCCAAAGTAATCGCCCCGAGATCGCTTGAATGAGGTGGTCTCGGCTCGATTGAAACAAACCCTGGAGCGGTTCGATTGCAGTGAGAAAGCGATCCGATCCGAGCGCGGTTATATCACAGTGTTTTATGAATATGTAATAGGCTTACGGCTATATGAAGAGAGAATTATGAGTATGGCGGGAAGTTTCGCGAGTCTCTGGATGCCCGCAAACGAGTGATGATCTCCCGGTAATCTGCGCCTCTCTCCCAGTCCTCAAATAGGCATCGTCGCGCACCCTTCTCACCCCTCCCCACCGTGTCTCTCCTCAGACACGTCACGCGCGCGCACCCTGTCAATCACCACCAAACCACCACCTCTCCTGACAGCTGAGCAGGACGCTGCAAAATAAACCCTGACACTCTGACCAATGTAAGGAGAGTTTACTCGCACGTGACTTGTTTTAGCTCTTTTGGTCCGATTAGAAGCTTTGCAGTGTGAAAGCGAACCGCTCCAAGAGCAAAGAGCAACAATGTAACAATTTTAATCTCTGTTTCGGAACAACTGAATCGATTCACAGGTGTGAAAGCACCCTAAAACGGCTGCGCTTGTATTTGTAAACATTTGACTAAATTACAAACTCTGTGAATGATCAATATTGTGAATAACTTTTGCAGGATCACTTTCGCATGTCGAGATGTTCATAATTATGTGTGTGTGCAGGCGCTCACAGGCTGTTTCACAGGCACACGCAAAGCTTGAAGGTAATTCTGCATTCACACAGCGCAGCATTCCGGCAAATTACCGGTAATGTTACAACTTCTCTTTCCGGAAAATAGCCAGAACGAATTTACCGGTATTTTCAAAAAGGACCTGTTCACACATACAACCTTTCCGGAAAATTGCCGGTAATTTTCCGGAAAGCTCTGTATGTGTGAAAGGGGCTAATGTAAAAATAAGTACAGCAGAGTTCTGAATTCTGATTTATATATAATGGAGAGATGAAATACTCTCTGTTCTTGTTTGTTTGCCTTTGATGTCTCAATAAATAAAATAGCGGTATGAAATGAGTCATGTTGTAGGAGATCTGAGCCCACTCAGTGGGTGAACTTGTTTGGCTAACACATGAAAAGCTGAACAAGTAGATAAAATCCAAAAGTTTAACTTGAACATCCTCCACTTGTGTAGCTTATGTAACAGCGGCTCCCACATGTTCACCCCTGCAGCACCTTATTAAGTCTTTGGAGACTGAGTGTGCCAACAATAGATAAATAAAAGATTTTAAGCTTTTTTTTTCTGTCATTTGATTGTAGAGACACTGGTAGAGGAAGTAGGACTGTGTTTGTTCAACACGTTTATTTTCAGGTCAAACAAAGATGCTCATCCATAGGTTAGAGGTAAAACCGTTTTCAATCAATTTAACTGCATCTTAAGGATTTACAAAGTCATAAAATGTCTTGGTCTTATTAAGAATGCCACAGAGAGAATACCAAAAACAACGGCATTTTAGTGTTACTGTTACAAAGGGATTTGGTGGGTGTGTTTGTGAGTGTTTGAGTAAGTGTGTGTGTTAAAAATATTACAGGAGCATTATAGTTAATTGGGATATGCGAATAAGCGTTTCTGTGTGGAGTTTGCATGTTCTCCCTGCGTTTGCGTGGGTTTCCTCCGGGTGCTCTGGTTTCCCCCCACAGTCCAAAGACATGCGTTACAGGTGAATTGGGTAGGCTAAATCGTCCGTAGTGTATGAGTGTGTGTATGTGTGTGTAGATGTTTCCCAGAAATGAGTTACGGCTGGAAGGGCATCCGCTGAGAAAAAACTTGCTGGAAAAGTTGGTGGTTCATTCTGCTGTGGCGACCCCGGATTAATAAAGGGACTAAGCCGACAAGAAAATGAATGTGTGTGTGTGTGTGTGTGTGTGGCTGTGTGTGTGTGTGTGCGTGCGTGCGTGAATGAGTGCGTGAATGAGTGAGTGAGTGAGTGAGTGAGTGAGTGAGTGAGTGAGTGAGTGAGTGAGTGAGTGAGTGAGTGAGTAAGTGAGTGAGTGAGAATGAGTGTATGGATGCTTCACAGTACTGGGTTGCAGCTGGAAGGGCATCCGCTGTGTAAAACATAAGCTGGGTAGGTTGGCGGTTCATTCCACTGTGGCGACCCCTGATGAATTAAGGGAATAAGCCGAAGGTAAATTAGTGAATGCACATAGTGATGCAGTCTTTATTGTTGTAGATTGAAATGACCTATATACAAAACCCCACAAAATGTTTCAAAATTTTAGCTGAAATTTGTGCAAAAAACTATACCCATCCCCATCCCCAAAACTATAATGTATTACAAACTAATAATCCTACTTAAAGCACTATAGCATGATAGTAGGCCTATATTAAATTAGTATATTAAATCAAAATGATTAAATATTATTTTAATTGTCTCAATGAGTTTTTTTGAGTTCCATCTTGACGAATATTTTGTCAAACGGCCTATCAAATTAAAGAAGGCGGGGCTTTACAAACTAAAACAACGAGTGATGTGACCGTTCATTTGTTAATGGACGGAGTGCGAGATAAGTCCATTTAAAAAGTCAGCTGGCAAATGTAAAAGTAAATGTAAAACTATCACTAGTAATATATAGTGACATTTTAGTTTTTGTAAAAATGCCATTTCTAATTGACAATTTAATATAAGTGAAAAATGTGAGACAAAAAAAAAACAGTCTGACGTTTTTCAGTTTCATGTTGTAAAGTACAAATAATTGTTAAAATGTGTAAAATCAGTCTATTTAGTTTTATTTATTTTCCTTAGTCATTGACAGTGAATCATTGTAGTCAAAGGGTGTTTTGAGTGATACCAAAGATATATGTGTATACCTCTGGCTCTGGATGGCCACAGTCCTCCACTGCAGCATGGTCCTGAATTAATTTCAAAGAAGCGCTATCCTGTACTAAATTTGCGGCTCTATTGACACATTTATTCCAACAGACAATAACAGGGCAGGCGACATCTAATGTAAATATCTATGTTTTGGTGATACCAAAAACTGTAGAAGACACAAGACATGTCACTCCTATACTTTTGAATTGGGAAACTGTAATTGTCAATTTGGCGAATGTAGCCCCGCCTTCTAGAACATGAGCCAATCAGCGATCACTATATGATGAATAAAGCCCGCCTTCTAATACAGGAGCCAATCAGGAATCTTCATAAAACGACAATTCTTCTAGGGACTGGGACCTGACTTGAAATTCTGCAGATTTTGTGTGATACGAACATTTAGAAATTAAACTAAATAGACTGTTTAATTTTATTGCTTATTCATAAAATACAAAGTAATGGTAAGCTTGGCAATTAGTTTTGGAAAATTTGATCTCCCCCATTGAAACAGATTGCCCGAGAGGCGTTTCAAAGATGGCCTCCGAGTGAAATGACCCTAAAGGGACTTTGGTGATATCATTTAGGAGGTTACTCATCATTCACTTGTCACAAACCTGTTTGAATATCTTATGTTGAACACCAAAGTTATTTAGAAACATTCTTTAATACAGTAACCACTGACTAACACAGTATTTGTTTTCCTACAATGCAAGTCAACGGTAACAGGTTTTTGAAATTCTTTTAGGTTCAACATAAAAAGGAAACCCATAAAGGTTTGAAACCACTTGAGGGGCGAGTACATTTTGGGTATACCATCTCTTAAATAAGCCAGTTATCAAAGTCTTCAACATTAACTTAGTGTGTTAAAGATGATTTCATGAAGTAATCTGTGTGTCCAGCAGGCGGAGCAGCGCGCGTGAACTCCTTCAGGAGACTGTTAACGAACGCACAGGAGGAGGACGTGCACGCGCAGAGAGAGTCTGGAGTCAACGACACACACCTCACTGGCTCTTCAGTCGTGTGTTTTTTTCTTATAGCGGAGCATCAGACTGACTGACCGGCGGACAGACACCGAGCCCCGCCGTGAACCTGCAGGAGAAGCCGCTCTCCTGGGGGAGCATGATCATCATGACTCGCTCGCCGGACAGCAGGACTTGAGACCTGCGGTTTGTCAGTGATTGTGTCTTACTGAACACCCAGAATTTCCTCCACTTCCATCATCTGGATTTGCTTCAACACTAGAACTAATCATGCTTTGGAAAACGGCACTGATTTTTCTGTGCTGGGGCTTGACGTCCGGGGAGCTACAGAACGGGCTGTCCGCCACTCCTGCTGCTCCAGCGCGGAGAACTTTGGATTTCGGCTTCGTCCCCTCCGGAGTTTACGATACTGTTGCCTATTATGAGCCTGGAGCCATTGGGATTTTATTTAACATGATGCACGCTTTCCTCTTTGTGGTTCAGCCCAACCCGTTTCCTGAAGGTGAGGCAACTTCTCAAATCTGATTTTCTGTTCCTCAGTTCTTAATTTCACTCAGATTATGTGTTTATACACCAGTGCATGCATTCGCCATATCACGAGCAGGTAGATGTTCCAGGTGTGTAAAGTGAGGGGTTCAGTGTGTCTGGTCTTGTCCTATTCTCTCCACCCTCAGTGTTTTTATTATTTGGTAAATCTTGATATTAATATTCAAGTTTATTCTGTTCTGTAGCCAATCAATAATATTGCTACAGAACTAATTTAAATTATAGTATATATATATATATATATATATATATATATATATATATATATATATATATATATATATATATATATATATATAATTTTTTGTTGCTATTTGGGGAATAATATTATTAAATTAAGATTTTGTTATTTTTTATATTCTTTTGATTGTTTTTGCCAAACTTAAAGTCTTTTATAAAAAATAAAAAAAATAAATAAAATATAATAGGTAATACTGTGAGAATTATACTTCGAGATGCACCAATATGGATTTTTTATTTTTTGTATTTTTTTTTATGCCCGATAACCGATTGTTCTTTAGATTTTGAGGCCAATTACTGATATATCGGCCGATAAATGATAATTTTAGGGATGTCCCGATCAGGTTTTTTTTCCCTCAAGTCAGAGTCCGAGTCATTTGATTTAGAGTATCTGCCGATACTAAAATCCGATCCGATACTTCTATATAATACTTTAAAAAAAATAAAGAAGAGCGAAGAAACATATCCAGAATGTTCCTTATGTTTTTATTTAATTCACCTTATTTAAACATTCAACAACTCTGTTAACAAACAGAGCACTTCTGTGGGGTAGTTTGAAACAATCACCTAACAACATCAGTTCTTCACTTTTGCACTTTAGAGCAACAGTAAATATAAAAAAATCTAATATAAAAACAAATAGCACCTCAACTTAAAATACCTAGCAGGCAATCCCAAGTTTACATATCTCACCGTTTGCAGTGGCAATGTTGTCGTAATCACCTTTTATAATACCTTCATTTGTAATACTCGCACTTTCTGCTTCAAGCTGCTTCCGTCTTCTACTTTGCTGGCATTTAACCAATTAAAGCTGCGGTCACACTAGAGTTTGTGTGTGCGAAATTCTGTCATACGGCACTGCGAAAAGAGGCGGGATTAAACAAGATTATTAGACATTTAAAAAAGCAAGCTAGTGGCAAGCTAGTGGTCCATTTAATTTTCTGTTCAGAAAGCTCCTGTTTTGATCCTCGAATGGTCCCACGCACTCAAGTGATGCGATTTCGCAGGTCAGATTTCACCAAGCTTGAACTTTGCACTTCAGCGACCTGCAAAACTTGATGCAAGACCCTGCGTTTCCGTTCTGACGCATTCGCGTGCATATGAATGGAAGTCTATGGAAGGAAAAGCCCAGTGTGACCGCAGCTTGAGTCTGAAACCATGTGATCAGGCCCGATTTCCGATCACGTAATCGGATCTGGACATCCCGATTCCCTAAAAAAATATTATAAAAGTTTTAAATTTTTGTACAGTGATCTTAGAACAACCTAATTTCAACGTTGCTATATTCATGATTTCACATACATCGTCATGCCAAAAACAAATAATTTTCTTTTCTTCATAGCAAATTAGCTAGCAACTTGACTGTTGCATAAAAATAATAGGTAAAATGACTGCATTTAATTAACAAAAAAGTTCAGAAGTATATTTTAATTGAAATGAAGACGAAAATGAAAGAACTAAGAACTGAAACCAGCTCAGATGTTCTGGAATAAAAAGTGTTACAGTAAAATTGTTAGTCATTAACACTTTTATTACTGCACTCCCGCATGATTCTCTCGTACTTACAATGCTTACAAGGCATGCAGTTCTGTACAATTATATAATTTATAGGCTTAAAGATATCAGCCTAATATTGATATCGGACCGATAACGATAACATTAAAAATAGCATTTTTTGGCTGATATCGATATAGCCACCGATATTTTGTGCATCCCTAATTATATTTGCTCTGTTGCACAACACTTAGAAATATTTAGAAATAATTAATTTCACATGAGAGCTAATAGTTTTGCCTTCAGCAGCATATGGGATTAAGATAAAAGGATTTTTCTAGCTTCAGTACAATATAAATTTAAAACATTTCTGCATTTTGTCATGAATCAGAATGTTTTATTATTTCAAAAATATTATATCTGTCATAATTTGTCTGTCATACATTTTTGCATAGTTTACACCCATGTCATTCAGCCGATTCAAATGTTTCCACTCCATTGAATGGCCGTTATAAGCTGAAAGATGTGGGCCAGTAGGGGCCTTCTGTGCCTACTAGTAGGCTCAGAAAGCTGTTACCATCCATCCACATGGTTAATCAGCTATATTACATATGGCTGGGGCCTGAAGTTAATGATCATTTTTTATATTATTTATTAAATTTCCCATTAATTGTATTTTATTAACGTCTACCCCTACCCCAATCCTAAACCCAACCGTCACAGTACTGTAAAAACAGATCTGGGTCTTGAGTCTTCTCTATTAGTATAGCTGATTAATCATGTGGATGGATGATAACAGCCTTCTGAGCCTACTAGTAGGCACAGAAGGCCCCTATTGGCGCATATCTATCAGCTGACAACCACTGATAACGCCCATTCAATCGAGTGATAACATTCAAATAGGGTGTGTCATTCAGTGTAACAATAATACACAACAAAATCAAGAAGGAAAGTTATTTAAAGATGTATTGAAAGACTATAGTTCAGGATTGCAAGGGATTACAGTTCAGCCCACAAATACATTATAATGACTTGTAAATTGTCATTATGATAGATTTAGTAATGTAACGTTACTTCAGCCCCACACTTTTCTTGAAATGGAGCTCAATTAATCTCAATATTCTCTCATATTTCTATTCCTTAATTAATAATTTTACTCACATTATGTGTTTCTTGGTGCCTGTATATATTAAACATATCATGAGATGTTCCATTTGTGCAAGCTAAGGGGTTCAGTTGGTCTGGTCTTGTTCTTCACTCACAGTGTTGTCATTACTTGGTCAGTCTGGAGATTAAGAGTGTGACCCTGTGAGTCACTGTCCTAATGAGCTAAAACGCTTATCTTGAGGGCCATATGTTGCTGTGCTTTTATTTTCCAGCCTGCCACAGGTGGATCTACACGGTTCCTGGAGGAACACCTAACATTTAAGAGATCTTAGGGAACTTTACTTAAGAGTTGCATAAGGTGTTTGTTTGGTGGACATCAGGGTTGGGAATAGCTACCGATAACACCTGTCAATCTTCTCACCTTGTTTATTATGCTTGTTTTAATGCGTTTTCTGCAGCTTCTCGTCTGGTAGTGATGAGGATCTGCCTCTAGCTGTAGGTCTAAATCATCAGCGCATCCGTCTTCTGAGCGCATAAAGCACTGATGGCGATTTGTTTTCATTTCTCCCCTTTTCCTTTTTTTCTGCTTCATTCCCAAATAAAAATAGCCACAGCTGTAGCCTTTCGGCGAATTAATTGGAATGATAAAAGCTCTCTGACAGGCCTTCAGTATGATAATTCAGCCCACTTCGTTTGATTTGCAGAGAGGCGACAGCAGTACGCCTGCAACAGACTCGATGTTACTCTGATTCTGCTTGATTTGGTCTCGGTGAATACATATGTTTCCCAGTCTTTGATATAGGGTTATGATGGCATTTTTTTTTTTGTTGCGATAGATAGATAGATAGATAGATAGATAGATAAATAATTAAATAAATAAATAAATAAATAAATAAATAAATAACTAAATAAGCAAGCAAGCCCCTTTCACACATAGAGACCTTTCCGGAAAGAACAGGTCCTTTTTGAAAATACCGGTAAATTCGTTCTGGCTATTTTCCGGAAAGAGAACTTGTAACATTACCGGCAATTTGCCGGAATGCTGCGCTGTGTGAATGCAGAAGGAAGATTACCGTAATAAGCGCGTGCACGTCTAGAACATGCTGACTTGAGACGTCTGCTTTAGCCAATCACAACAGTCAGACGCATTTACGTCCGCGCGATTTGTGAGAATAAAAACCTTTGAATATTTTTCCAGACACATTTAGCTGCTAGAAGTTAGTCAGATCACGTTTATATGTTCTTCTTAATGCCAACTGTGTAAATAATCATCGATGAGATGCTTATGTTTGTTTACCTTCAAGCTTCAGCCTGTGAGCGCCTGCACACGCACATATTATGAACATCTCGACATGCGAAAGTGATCCTGCGAAAGTTGTTCACAATATTGATCATCCACAGAGTTTGTAATTTAGTCAAATGTTTACAAATACAAGCGCAGCCGTTTAAAGCTCATTTGTGGTGAATGATGTCAGAATTTACCGGTATTTTGGAATGGATGTGTGAATGCTCTTTTCCGGAAAATTTCCGTAACGTCCTCGCCTGTGTGAACAGCGCTTTTTTGAATATACCGGTAAAGTCGTTCCGGAAATTTTCCAGATATTTACCGGTATCACTGTGTGAAAGGGGCTATTGACTGATTGATTGACTGATTGATTGATTGATTGACTGATTGCTTGACTGATTGACTGAACTTTATTGTCACTGGATATGTACAAGGCAATGAAATCCAGTTTAACCAGGTGCAATAGCAGCAAGTGCAGGATACAAGTAAAAGTTGCAATTATAGAAAACTATGGGTACTATTTACAGATGGGTGTATTAGGGCTGCTCGATTATGGGAAAAATCAGAATCACGATTATTTTGATCATAATTGTAATCACGATAATTCAAAACGATTATCAGTTGAAGTCAAAATTATTCCTCCTCCTGTGAATTTATTTTTATATATAAATATTTCCCAAATGATGTTTAAAAGGGTTTTTTTTTTTTTAAGTATTTCCTATAATATTTTCTCTTCTGGAGAAAGGCTTATTTGTTTTATTTCAGCTAGAATAAAAGCAGGTTTGAATATTTTGAAACCTATTTTAATAGTTCGATATTATTAGCCCCTA